GACCGTTTTGTCGAAGCCAATGACTGTCTACCTGTACCTACTTTTGCGACTAATTTTGTTAACTCCAAGATGTAGCCCGCTGTTTGGTGATTATCTAAGTAGTAGATCCAAGTTTGACAAACAGTTCGCCGCGGCATGTCCACGTAAGTATTAATTCCTAGATTAGACCGCTTGCTGTAGGTATGCATTTTCCTCCTTCCACTTACGTGCGACGCTCCTGCTGGGATCTGCAACTGAAATGGCCATAATGCTTCATAGTACTGTTTTAAGAAAACAGCAATCTCAAAAATGACTTAGGTGGCCCGGCTGTAGTAAGCTTAGGATGGGCAGGAGGGGTGTTGAAGGTGCTTTAGCTACTTTGCTCCTTGTTTCCAGGCGTCAGCGACTGATTGAAAGGTTTCCCTGGAGCACATTACCTTCCAAACTTCTGAATGGTATTAACGAACATTAAGAGACCTGAAAAGTTTATAGGAAAAATAAGGCTAACAGGGTATGAAATCGTGTATGGATCCGCGATGATGTTTTAATTTCCAATTAAGCACGCGAGTCCCTTTTTTCACTCTATGACAGAAATTAAGCTGCTGGATATTTTGGAGAATATTCCTACTGGACTTTGATTTTCTCACTACTTCCTGATACAAAGGCTTTCAGGACTGCGGAGAACTGACAAGTTTGTATACGCATGCTCCTGTGAATGAGAGTTCAAGCGTTTCCTCGGTCCAAAAAACCTTTAAGTACATATATACACATGCTGGAAGTGTGCTCACCAATCTGACCAGGAAAAGTGCTCGTCCCGTTGTGCTTTGAAACTCAGCCTTTCACTGACTAGCACTTTATGCAGGGAAGCCTTACCGACGAAGACTAGGAAGAATATTATTATCGAAAAAGACAAGGGAGACTTAAATGACTACTTCTGGCTTATTAACCGTCGTCAGCCAGTCATACCCAACGGGGAAGTGTGGGGCAACTGGGGATCGATCCCGCGACCTGTTAGTTAGAAGTCCAATGCCTCGAAACACTGGGCTACGAACTAGTTGTCCTGTCGGGGTTCCACACTCCGACGCTGGGTATTACTGACTGACGACGGCTAATAAGCCAGGATTGACCATTTCAGTCTCCCTTGTCATTTTCGGTTATAACATTCTGCTTACAATTGGTGGGCTAACTCATGAAATGTCGACCGAAATTTCGAAATGCATTTTCGTTTTGAAAGAGATTCGTTAAATAGGGTTGTAAAACTTATCATCGCGCAGCATAATTCTATAATAATTCAGTTACTTCGAAATGCCGGCTTTCGCACGAAATTCTTTCCGGCTGCATGCAATAACTATACTGTGTAAAAATGACTACTTATGTAGCATGCATTGGTAAATGCAGAGACATGACGTATAATGGAAGGCCATTTCAGGGTATTTAAAAATCCCACAATTAAAAACTTTTTGCAAAGTGAATTATACCCTTCCTTCGAGTATAAAATTAGCAGAAGACGTAATTTTCTACCGAGTTTGCAAGAGAATGAATATTGGTGTGCATGCTTTCCATGAAATACAATTGAATTTTTATGGACATCAAAAATCCATGAGAAAATGCATGCTACATAAGTAGTCATTTTTACAGAGTATAGTTTTTGCATGCAGCCGGAAACAAGTTAGTTTGAAAGCCGGAATTTCGAGGTAACTGAATTATTATAGAATTATGCTGCGCGATGATTAGTTTTACAACCCTAGTTAATTAATCTTTTTGAAACGAAAACGCATTTCAGAATTTCGGTTGACCTTTTAATAAGTTAACCCACCTACTCGATATCATGCGCCGCGTTACGGCTGCTAGTTGGGCTCGAGAGAGGGCCCGTAAGGTACAAAGGAACGAGTGAATTCCGTAAAAACGATCGGTGAGCGTCCCTCTACCAAAGACAAGGAAGACTGGAATGATAATCTCTGGTGTACTAGCCGTCATCAACTAGTCATGCCCAGTCCCAGGTTATGCGACCCGAACCGCCGTTCTTTTGCTTAGAAGTCCAACGTCCCTAACCACTGATCCACGAGCTCGTTGTCTTCTCGGTTGCGATCGAAAATACAAAGATTACGGTAGGAAACGCTCACCGATCGCGTTACGGGACATAATTGTCCCGCTTTTGCCTTGGGACTCGATCTAGTTGTTGTGCAACTGTCCACGGGCTTCTAGATCAGACCTCAACGCACATCGGGACGAGTGGGTATTGTAACGTGGTCTGCGTCGACTAGGTTAATGTACTTATAACCAACAGATCGGGGATTCGAGCCTCAGGGATGACAAACAATGTGTCTGGTTTAATTAGACGAGAACGGCTGATAAGCCAGAAGTGGCCATCCCAGTCTCCCTAGCTTTGTTGGTAATGTTACGCTACCTTCAATACTGGCCGCTGAATGGCTGCTGACAGTGCCCGAGATTCATGTCCAAGGCACAACGGGACGGACTGTGCCCTGTAACGCGACCAATGATCGCCCTTCTACCATACTGATGAGCATTACACGTAATCACAACTAACTTCCGTTTGACTTAGTTTACAGGCTTTCGATTGACACACCTTTTCGGTTGCCGGGCCGGGTTGCCCGTTAGCCTAGCTGCTGGCTACCCGGCGCGTCCACAGGTGGCGGATAGTGGGACGACCTTCAGTGAAGGTTAGCTGCGAAATAAGCAGACTCAGGTCTGACGAATAAGCAGTCCAGGACCAGCGGCGACATTGCTGCCAGGGTGCGGTGGGCTGAAGTCTGGCACGCTGAAAGCCTTATAAAAAGCCGCAAAGCCCAATGACGGTATTGTGACATGGCGACCGTAAACCGCCATTAAATAAGTTTACTTGCCACCACTGCCTTGTGGTTAGGTTTTTAAGCCAAAGCGCTAGAGGAGGCAACCTCGAACAAACAATCCGAGCGGCTGTTGGGGACCCGCCCCTATTCGAAATTTCCAAGAAACCTCATGAAAAATGTCCGATCACAGTACTACGACCCATGCTACGGCGTCCGCGGGAACCGACGCGCTCCGCAACCCTGATCCAGTGGTGCGGGCGAATAGTATGCGAGCTGGACTACTCAATCGTGGACGGAGTCTCGATATTGGATGCTGGAATGTACGAACGTTCCTGGACCCTGATACCCAAAGTCTGACCGCACGCAGCTTTCATCAGTACAACGTGGATGCCTATTGTCTGTCTGAGGTACGATTCCCTGACTCAGGCTCCCGTGAAATAAAGATCCCGGGAGTCGAATCCCACTTTACCCTGTACCACAGCGGCCCCTGCGATTCCTCTGGTCGACACGGTGTGGCTATCGCCCTATCACAACAAGCGGACCTTGCGCTAATTGCTTGGGAACCAGTAAATGACCGGATGGCCTACGTGCAACTGAAGGGTCACTTCACGAACATCTCCATCGTCGCTGTGTACGCACCAACTTCGGCTGCCGAACAGCGCGATAAAGACGCGTTTTACTCTCAGTTGCAAGCGCTAGTTGAAAGACTGCCTCGCCGCGATCTGCTGATTGTTGCTGGCGATTGGAATGGTAGAACAGGACCTGACGACCCCACAACCAGTCATCTTCTTGGCCGCTTTGGGCTTGGTTCTCGATGTGAAAATGGTGAGAGATTGCTGAACTTCGCTGATCGAAACCGACTGCTTGTCACCAACACATGCTTCCAACATCGCAAAAAACATCTGCTGACCTGGTATTCAAACGACGGTCGTACGGCCAGTCAGATTGACTACATACTAGTCAGCTCAAGGTTCCGCAGCTGGGTTCACGATAGCAGATCGATGCGTGGTGCCGAGACTGGTAACGCCCATGGGTCGGACCATGTCCTCGTCCGTACACGCCTGAAGGTTCATCTCTCATCCGCGCCAAAAATGCCACGTCCTAGACGCCTCAATGTCGCAAAAATCCGGCAAGCCAGCACTGCCGAGTCCCTAAGCAGAGAAATACGGACCTCTTTTACGACCCGAGCCGACGGAGAAGTCAGTAAGCAGTGGTCGTCACTGAAGACATCGGTCTATGGGGCAACTGAGAAAATCCTTGGATACACCCAACGACGCCGCAGTGACTGGCTCAGCAGAAGAACCCTGCAGTTGTCTGCTCAGACGGCTAGAGCCAGGTCCCGCAACGATGACTACTTCCGCCAACTTCGGAAGATGACGGCAAAATCGGCCAGGGATGACCGGAAGCAATATTGGGCTGAACAAGCGACATCCATGGAACAGGCATCGAACATTGGTGACACTCGAAAGCTCTACTATCTGATCCGCCAAGTTAGCGGTAAGCCCTGTACACTGAGTGACTCTGTTGGCGATGTGAACGGCGGCTTTATTGTTGACAACTCGGCCAAAGTCGAGCGCTGGCATGGGCACTTTGAGCACCATCTCAACTTCGATACCCAACCTACATCGCCCTTGTTCTCCTCCTCAGCGGAGTTTCTTCCCTCTCCTTCTTATGCAGTGCCATGCGATACCCCTCCGAGGAAGAAGTCGCCGATGCCATACGAAAGTTGCGCAACAATAAGGCACCCGGAGAGGACGGTTTACCCGCTGAAATCTTTAAGTCTTGTGTCGACACTCTGGCGCCCTGGCTCCATGAGGAGATTGAACGAGAGTGGAGAGACGAGGTTGTTCCTGATGACTGGGGCTTAGGCATCTTTGTACCTATCCTCAGTAAGGGAGATAAGACGAGATGCGAGAACTACCGCGGCATAAGTCTCATCGACGTTGCTGCGAAGATCTTCACTATTGTCCTACTCAGGCGATTCCAGGCTGTGCGTGACTCGATGACGAGGCCCAACCAAGCCGGATTTCGTGCTGGACGTGGATGCGTAGATCAGATATTCACACTGAGGCGCATTCTCGAATTTCGCCATAGCTACCAACAACCGACGGCCGTCTGCTTCGTTGACTTTGCCGCCGCGTTCGATTCCGTTCACCGTGAGTCCCTGTGGCGGATAATGGCGCTAGATGGTGTACCGGCAAAATCATCGCCATGATCAAGGCCTACTATCGTTCCAATACTGCGAGAGTCCTGGTCCGTAACAATTTTTCCCAACCGTACGGTATTCGGTCTGGCATCCGACAGAGTTGTATCCTGTCACCCATACTGTTCAACTACGCTATTGACTGGATCCTCGGAAGGGCCCTACGCGACAGTGACGGCGTTGAATTTGCAGCCGGACATCGACTGACTGATCTCGACTATGCCGATGACATCGCCTTACTTGCTTCAAGTTTTGGTGATCTGCAGTCTATGGTGTCACGGGTGAACGAGGTCGCTAAATCAGTCGGTTTGTCCATAAACGCTGGGAAGACCAAAGTATTCTCAAGCTGCATCCCTGACCAGGAGAAGGCACCCCTGGGGATTGATGGCTGTCAACTTGAAGAAGTGGACAGTTTTAAATACCTCGGGGCGCGGCTGCTGCCTAATGAACAGAGTAAGGACGACATTGTCTCCCGAATCGATGCTGCCCGCTGGGTTTTTTCAAGCCTTCGGAAATGCCTGCGGAACCGACGTGACCTCTCCATCGCCACTAAGATTCGCGTGTACCGTACATCTGTCCGGTCTGTCCTTCTCTACGGTTGCGAATGCTGGGCTTTGCGCGTGGAGGATGAGCGAAAACTGGAGGTATTTGACCACCACTGCTTGAGGATCATCCTTCGAGTGAAGTTAACCGACTTCGTCTCAAATGAGACAGTCCGCGCTCGCTGCGATAACATCATAAGGATAACTCAGGCCATCCAAGAAAGACGACTGAGGTGGTTCGGGCATGTTCTTCGTCGTCCACCTCAGGAGCTCAGTGTTACTGCCCTCAATCCGGCACCGTTGCCCCATTGGAGGCGTCAAAGAGGGGGTCAGTTCAAAACCTGGCTCGACACTGTCCGTCAAGACATGGAGGTGGTTCTTGGACCTTCGGTATTCGGTCTCCGTCGTTGGCGAAGGGAATGGCTTGAGCTGTCTAGATCTGCTGCCGCGGATCGTCACGCGTGGAGAGGTACAATTCGGGACATCATCGAGGCCGGCTAGATCAGGCATGATCGCAGCCGTATCAAGTACAAGTAGAACGTCGCTTAGGGAAGCACGGTAACTTGAGAAGTGCAAATTTTCCATGCTTGTTAACCTACACTTAAAACTAAGTCGCCTTTCCAAAAGCGATCAAAAAACCTTCATTGTTAATAACTCCTCTGTTGGAAAAACAACTTCCTATAATTGCCATATTTAAGTATATATATATAGTGTGTTTTGTTAAAAAGTTTCGTTTGTGCATCCTTTTTGAATTTCCACCAGCCAATTTGCAGCCTAAAATCGCCAAACTACCCTATCCGAGTGCTATATGAAAGAAATTTAGGGATTGCGCCCATCCTTCTTGTGGTAGCCCTTGGCTTCATTTTTGTTTATGCGCAAATTTTTATAGCTATTCCTTTGGTAAGACGTGGTTATGTTGCCTCCTTTGCTGGACATACTACTTTTGGTTTTGGTGTTAGGGTTAGGGGTTAGGGCAACTATTTCTCAACCATTCAAATTAAAACCGTGCATTCCCAATAGCTTTTATTTTGCACACTGATTACTGCTATGGGAATTTCCGAAACTTTATTATGAATTATTCAGAATCTGTCAAAAAATATGGGAAGTATGTGAGCCGGGTAGTCATCTGGTGGATTCTAGGTGGATTATGTATGAAGCCCTGCTTGGGCAGTCAGCTTACTGTATCCGATTTGGTGAATTCCAAACGTTGCAGTAGGTTGGGCAGGTAACTTGACTCAAATATGATTAAATTCATGTATCCCGGTGGGGCCTTGAAGTTCAGGTGGATAGAGCGTTGGCTTTACTAAAGCCTGCTCCTTGCTGCCATGGGTTCGAATCACACCGAGGCGCCGAGTATTTCACAGTTGTGTCAGTATGAAAGAATTAGGTCCTTAAAGAACCAAGAGTCCTAATCAAAACCGGGCAAGATGTGGTTATGTGGCCCTACCTGATGGACACAATACTGTTGGGGTTGGGTTTACGGGTTAGAGTTAGGGTCCGGGGTTAGGGTTGGGTATTAGAATTAGGGGCTAGGGCTAGGGGTTAGGGCAGCTATCTCTCAACCACTCAAAAAATAAACCGTGCATTCCCAATAGCTTTTATTTCGCCTGTGCGTTTCCCAGCCCTATCCGTAAAACCTCCTATTACCACCGGTCCGGTATTACAGGTAGTTGGGGTTTGTTTACTTCAGACGGGACCACATAGCCACATCTGACCATTCCATTTATTAGTCATTTCCTAAGCTCGCATTTATTCGTGTTGGTTTAAGTTGGTGTTCATTAACTTTCCAACTGTACACTCCAACTGTTGTGAGTTTCGGTACCATTAATTGACTTTTCATTCATTCCCTTTGCTCTTCACTGGGCGGCGTTGACAACTAAGCCCGTTCTAGTGTGGCAGTTTTGTTTGGCTTATCTCGACTGGTTTTTGGCGTGGGATCGCACTATTAACCGTCTCAAGTCGCTAAAACAGTTGCGAGAAGGGCGGTGTTTCTTTAGCAGATTCAGGAAGTCTGAAGTATTCATAGCATGCGTATTTTTACTCAGGAATATTCACTTTTGTTGGTAACCTTCTTTAAATTTGAGACCCGTTCCTCCAGGTAGACTGGGAACTAAGCCTTTGTTTGTTATCCCCTTCTAAATACGATGATTGACTTTGGCTAAGCATTGCCAGTACTGGAAGAAACTTTACTGAAGTTGACACCTTTCTCTATAGAAGTCTCAGAAAGTGACTCGCAAAGTCGGCGCGGGAAACTTATTATGTCCAGACGGCATGACACGGGAACAGGAGCCTCGCCCTGTTCCGTGGTTTTAAGTTAATTTTTGGGGAAATTGGGGTTAGTGTTAAGTCAGGATTGGAGTTGAGTTTAGGGCGTATGGTTGAGGTTCAGTCTAGGGTTAGTGTTATATTCACTTTTCCTAGAATTTTGTTCAAGACTACCTGTAGTACGGGGGGAAGGAGGTTCTTATTACCCTGTCTTACGATTCAGACTTATAAACGGATGTTAGATCACTCTTCAGGCGTACCAATCGTATAACCCGTGGTAAGTGCGCCTTCCTTTTCAAAACGCGCGTTAAAAAATTGCTCAGTGTTTTTAAAGTGTGGGTATTTACCGTGTGTTTATTTATAGTGAATATAACGCTTGTTGCAGCTTTTTAATTTCCTCAGAAATTAACGGCCAACTTGAAGCAAACCAGTGTATTTGAAACTGTTAGGTCTAGACCGAATTTTCCTATGAATATTTCCACTGAAGTCTATCAGCTACTGCGGACTAACCTCGTAATACCCATAAACTGTCAGCCGGCAGCCAGTAGTATATACTAAGGTTGTATGATACACTATACTTGGCAGCAAAGGTATTAGCTAAAAATCCAAATACGTTTCACCGATATTCTGAGCCTATTAGTATCAAATACATTGATTTACTCCAAGTTAACCATTAATTTCCAAGGTTGTTAAAGCGCTGCACTTTCAGAACTGGAGTATCTGCCAGAAAGCACACAGGGAACGCTGGGGACTCAATGATGAGCTGAACCCCTCGCAACTGTGCCAGGCAGCGTCCAAATATTCGCAGAACACGTGTTTGGGATTTTAGCTAGTACCTGTGCTGTCAGGTATGGTATACCATGCAACCTCAGTATAAAATTTGTTTTTACTCGGATGAGAGAAATCGCCGCCTAACTGTGACCGAACATTGTTTAGTTTAAGTGCCTTTTACAGGCATCTGTCATTATCCTTGCCAGTTTGGATGGACAGTTAGGGGAACCAGCTTTACTTCCTCGGAGAATATATGTGTTCCATTTTCGCTGCATAGTTCTCGTTCTTACTCTTTTTTGCAAAGCTATGACCTGGTAGATTGGCGGATTGACTGTTCCTCTGGGGACTTGGATTCAGCCTGCGTGTCTATGTCTAATGCAACGAGCTCCTTCACGCTCTCTACCACCGTGACCTTCACTGAAGTGCCCCAAGACTGGCCGGAAAGGTTGCGATTTGCCCGTGACCCTGTTGATCCATCGTCCTGTCGCAGACAAGCTTGCTGGAGAGATACCTTCGATCCCTGGCGCCAGGTGGACCTAGAAGAAGGGGAGTTGGCGGATCTCGTCAGGGCGCGGAGGATTGCCATCTCTGTTACCCTTGCTGGTATCGGTTTCTTATCCCTCTTCCTTTTCCGTCCTCTTAAATGAGGACAATGTTTTCGAAGTTCCCGTTTGTAACTGACCAGCGGATCTTGTAACTACTTTTCCATCTGAGTCGGTTTGCACCGCCTTGTCAAGCACTTTTATTAGTACAATCACATATTGACACCTCATCTTATTTTCTATCTTTAAATGCCTCCAGCAGAAAAATATCCTGTGGAATTGATACTGTTATTCTTTGGGCAGCTACCCCTAATACTAACCGTTATTACAGTCATCCAACAACACTGCATTATTCTCTTAATATTTGCGAGTTCCGCATGCGGAAAGTTTTGCTTCAATCGGCAAATACGGAGCTAGGATAATGCCTGGGCTACGAATCGATCGGCTTGCAATTCGCCCTTCAAGTCCTCCTTTGGGTTGTGACTGGTGAAAGTTTATTTAGCTATGGCTGACGCATCTTGTTAGACATTCGTTAGACAAAAACAAGCCCATATTCGGAGCAAGCTTAAAGGCAATGTTCTCCCCTAAGCAGGCCTTTGAAGAAAACCCAAAAAATAATGAGCACCAGATACAAAATAACCCAAAATAGCCTAATAAAAATATCAGAAGACGCCGTAATAAGAGGCTCGAACAGCAAGGAAAAAGAGTTAACGAAATTGACTGCCCGTATATCTAACATGTGATTGTGAGGCGAGCAAGGGAATAGGGTAATGGAAGAAAGAGTTTTCTTTCACAGTCGGCTCTGGTTTGGAATCATAGCTAGCGGACATGTGCACACTTCTTTACAATACCAATCGATAAACGGCGCGTTTCCAGGCCTTAGAGAACTCGTTGATCTATGTATTTCATTGGTCGCTGGTCAAAATTTCATCTGGAGTTAAGAGAATGAAAAGAGTCTGATATCTAGCACCTAGAACACACGGTTCATTTCAGGGGGGAGCTAGACTGGGTGAGCTTGCCTCACCCTCCAATCCGTCACTCCATGGCCGTAGCAAGAAAACCCGTAAACTCCGAAAATAGGGGGCCACGCCCAATCTTTCGATTAGTTTACTATATTTTACGAAAGAAACATAAACGCCGTGCCAAATTGTCAAAATACATCCCATTCGGAAATTTGACATTCGAGCTCTGTCGGTGTGGGTTTCACGCTTGTCTTGCTACCCCGCGCGATGACGTCAGCAGTTATCGCACATTCCGGCCTTTCGATGTATTCACTGCAATACTCTGCTGTCATCTTATTGACACCGATGACGTTGTGCGAATGGGTCGGTAAAGGACAAATGAATTAAAGTAGCTTTTTTCTTAAGGGATTGCAATTTCCCATGGCAAAAGTACTGTCGCTTAATCGATTTCGATGGATGACCTTGTTCTTGGACCTGTTGTCCAAAATTGAGCGAATGTGAAGTATTTCTGTTGCGGTGCTAGCAAAAAACGGTTTTTTGGGATTTCGCTAACAGTTTGGCCCCACTTCTGCTCCGGTTTCGGAACGCTTCATACGAACCAAACTCTTAATTCAGTTTAGAAAGTCAATCAGCTTTTCTGTTATTGGCAGAGGCCCGGTCTACTTAAATGATTATACCCTTTTTCAAAGGAAATCTTCCAACTAATGAAGTCACTGAAAAGTTTCACCAATAAACGCAAAGGATATCACAATGGCAGATCTTCAGATGTCTAATTGCTCATCATTACGCCACCCCATCACAAGGCCCCAGACTAAAGCCTCGAGAAAAAATTTAAACTGCCGGGTTCCGTCACTGGCAAGTCGTGGCTGGTCGTGAACGCCACCCGTATTTGTCACTGAACCAACGGTAATCGTAGTCGCAGTCATTGAGATGAAAGTGCGTTGGCCGATACGGTTGAGGGATCTGTTCGTCGCCTGCGCCCTGACGCTCAGTTTACAGCTCTCGCAGGCACTTGTAGGACGGTAGGTAATTATGGAGGAGTACAGAAAAAGAGGGGGTAGCCTGAAATTGACATTTCGGTCTTATTTCCGTTGTCGGCCAGCCACACCGAAGCGGAGTTTTTAGGACATGGGGTTCGAACTGGCGTTCTTTGGTCAAAGAGAGTTATTAAGTCCAACGCTCTACCACCGGGCCACAGACCCCTTGTACCGTCGGTTTCGGACATATTCGTCCTGATCCCTTCTGTATCCTTACCGATCACTGTGCGGTTGCCTGCGAGGGAGAGCATGTCTTCTAATCTTATCACAGCTAATACTCTTAGTTATAACCGACAGGACAACATGCCCTTTGCTCAATGGTAAAACGCTAAATACCGAGGAGTGTGGGTGCGAATTTTAGGTCCTGCAAATTAAGATTGGGCGAGGCTGGCTGACCACGGCCAGTAAACCAGAAATGCGAACCTCATTTTCCCCAATTTTTTTCGGTGCTTTTCCTGATGCAATAAATTTTGCTTTAATTATGGAAGATCTAACCGCCAGTTGTAGCGTATATGTAAAGAGCTCCGGTAATAACCATAAATTTTTGCAGTAACACTGCTTGCTTTCAACGACCGCTCACTGATAATGTACAACGAACCCGCAAAATCACATTTAATTCATAATCGTTATGTGCTCTGGGAACCCATCTCCATCCTACTTGGTGGACATGCACCTCCAAATTGGCCCTGTGGGTTAGGAGTTAAAGTCTTTACGTATTACACGGTTAAGCTTAGAGTTTGATACCCTTCAAAGTTTGACTGACCATCACGCTTCCGAGGCGATTTATGAACAAAAGCATAGACCGCTATACTTTGGAGTACTTTACAGCGTTTGTTCGCTAGCTGACGAAATTCGTGCCTGCGGTGCGTAGACACAATAAAAAGTTCATGTATTTATCCCGTTTAGATATAGAAGGCTGTTTCCATATTTTGTCTAGAATATGCAATAGGTTTATTTGGATGGTGACTTTGACTTATTTAGACTCGCTTTTAAGACCAGCTAAATTTTCTTTAAGTCATTTTGTATTCGTCGTCCGTAAAATAAGCAGAATTAAGACCAGATAGTTCGTTTTAAGTCCGCCTATCCCTAAGTGCTGTCAGCGACTGCAATTGGGATAGATCAATGAACGTCAATTCCACGTGATTTTAAATCGTCACCCCCATCGGCTTATCGGTATCGTTGCTGCAACGCAATCACAGTAAGGACTGGATGCTACGTATCACCCAAAAAATCGGCCAAATCCACGAAAAAATTGAGCCGAAAATATTGATGCACTGCGAGACTTCCCTCTAAATGGAACTTTCTACAGATGACACGTCTCAGGTGGAACATATGAAGTGAATAAAAAGTGTTAAAGGCAATGTTCTGCATGAGAGCATGGAGAGGTGATTCTAACAGGACACTGAGAATAGGTCTTATTAAGTTGAATGCCAGCCCTCCTTATCGCAGATTATTTTCGTTGAACAGGTACCTTCAATAACTTGTTGCTGACGAACTCGACCAGGCATTCCGACCTAGTACTTTATGTGCACGATGTCATCCATGTGCAAGATGAGGATGATACTGAACCCGTTTCAACTTATGCAGCGTTTAGCCGTGGCTAATCTTTACGTACACCTGACGCTGATGTGCTGGTATTTGACGCGGTCGCAACTACTCTGCAGAATCAAGATTTACACGAGTTTGGTTCGTGTGACCTACTGCCCACCAAAAATACGAATGCAGCACACATGGCTTTCTGTTTACGGATGGTTTATTGTTTCTCCTCAGAAACGTTTTTTCCAGAATGGGTTGTAGATAAATTTTTCTGGACCGTAAATATAACGAACTAGCACCAGCTGATACAACCTCTCATTCTGTGGACGACTGTAAACATTTACCGTTCCACGATTTTCAGTCGAACTGCATTGTGTTATAAGCCTTTTAGAAGGATTCTGCCCGAAAGAGCATTACCAATAGAATTGGCGAGCGCAAAATATCATATTTCCGCTCATACCTGTTCTCATAAAACAGTTCTAGTTAGACTCAGGTTGATCTTCGACCGATAGTTCTGTCGTCCACTGGTCTGAAGTGGAGTTAAGGCACGAAATTAGGCGGTTTACTGTCTGGTACATCTAAATGCACTCGTTCTGTGATTTTCCGAATCCACATCTCCCGTGTTCTGTTTGCACTAAAAATACCCTTCACGTTATTTCTTCTTCCTGCTCGCTCACGGCTCCTCGATCGGTAAAAAGAGTAAGTGTACGCCAACTCACATTCGGGTCAGATCGTTAGAATTACTTGACATGGAATGGCATTGTGGTCGTCGTGGAAATGAAAGAAGATACTCGGTTGCGTGGAGAAAAATCGCAATTTATGTGGAACAAAGTGAGTGTGCTCTAAAGCGGCACTGGAGACAAAGTATATTCTGACGTTTCTCTTCGCATGACCCTACCCATAACCCGATTATTCGGTTGTCCAGCACTGAGCGAGTTCTCTTTAATTGGTCAAAAAGTCAAATACCGGTTCGTACAGTTTGAGTTAGAGTTATATCCTTGACTCTTTACCTTGTTGTCCATAGTAATTTTGAGAATTTTTACTCAATACGGATAGAGCACAGTATTTTAAACGTTTACGGTTAGCTGACTTTATAATGTGATCATTCGAAAACATTCATCATGTAAATTCGTAAGCACACCCACTAAGCGTACGATAACTGCTTGTCCGTCGTAATACTCTGAAAAACAGCAAGAATCAATTGGAAACTCTACAGCTCAGCATGAATCTGAGAAACCCCCGCCACTTAAGTCTACAAACGTGCAAAATGTGAAGTAACAAGGATTTTGTCTGCTCAGAGTGACCAACTTTCTATTTATAGTAGAACTTTGCTTTTATTTCGACGTGTCATTCATATTAAAACTCTTAAAATAGTCCGGCGGCATACTTAACCTAACCACCATATTCTTACGAGAATTTGCATTTCTCGCTTGGCAACTCCATACTTCCTGTGCTTCCATAGTGGTACAGAAGAGCTAAGGCCCGATTTTCCACGAGCTGCAAAGTCATTAGTTTCGGAACAGTACGCGTCCATTCTTGAAAAACCGGCCGCCTGTCAGGTTGGGTATTCACTTGTTTATACAGAAAGGCAGGTCAAGTGCCGACCAGTTCCGCCTGTTCACGATGCACGTGTCCGTGTGTTTATAATTTTGTGTACGCCTGAATGCGTGTACATGTGAGCCAGGGGTATTGTTCAATTACGGTTTCAAACGTCAACAGCGAATGACATTCTGCCAAAAGTTTCGTCCAGAACTGAACACCTCTATCTCTCTCTGTCTTATCTCACTCCGAGCATTCAAGGTGGACATTTAACGCCTGAAAGTGTGAGCGTCTGCTTGATTGGCACTTCTGCAGTTCACAATCCTGCCTTCCCCCATTCCCTCTTTGAGAAAAGATTTCCCGTCCTTAAACTTTACCCGATCGGGCGGTCCCCATGAGCGTAGTTGGCCCCCTGTCTATTACTTCTACAAGTGGAGATTAGTGGATTTAAGCCCCTCAGTTCCTTCCAGCTTCTATGTGCTCGTGGAACTAACGCTCCTCTCGGAGGTTTATCTCTTTTTCTCGAGTTTCGTTTGTGCTAAGGAGAAAGAGCAAACTCTAATGCTGCTGCCAATTTCTATCTATCGGTTTCTCCTGCCGAAACATTCGAACTACAATCTGTTCGCTCTACTACAGAAGTATATTCGTGAGTGCTTTTCAGTTGGTTTTAAAGAAGAGTTAAATTGTCCTTTATGACTTGCAACGCATGGTAGGCCAGTTTAAGATGCTTAAAAGCAATGCCCTACTTACCGATTTTGTAGAATCAAGTAAAGCGTGGAGCAGGCAGAAAACTAACTTCGAATACTGATGCTTAGGCCGAAATATTTGAGACCTCTGCGAGCAGACATAAATCGCAGACATAAGTGAGTAAAATCGACCCGAAATCATATGTACTGATTCCACTGAAGGGAGATAGAGAGAAGAGGGTGATGACTAAAGCGGAGTAGAAACTAGATGGAAGATTTAAGTGACCAGACCATTAAACCCGTTGAGAGCATGCAGTGACGAGGACATGATGGTTCGGAAGGAATAAACTCGTGGGTTCTTTCCGTGATAGTATGTACAAACTGCTTTATCCCACAGTGAGCAGCAGTTCTAAACGACTATTTTAAATGAAGAAGACGTAATTTTCTACCGAATGAGCAAGAGACTGAATATTCGTATGCATGTTTCCCATGAAATATATTTGAATTTTTAAGGGCATCGAATATCAATCAGCAAAATGCATGCTGCATAAGTAGTCACTTTTTACAGAGCATAGTTTTTGCATGCAGCCGGAAAGAAGTTCTTTCGAAAGCCGATATTTGGAGGCAACTAAATTATTATAAAATTATGGTGCGCGAGGATTAGTTTTTCAACCCTATTTCATTAGTCATTTCGAAACAAAAACGTATTTCGGAATTTCGTTTGACATTTCATGAGTTAGCCACCTACCGTACATAACGACGTCGAAAATAAATGGAGAAAATTAACTTTAAATAAGTAGTCATTTATTAGAGGGTGCAGTTTATGCAGGCGGCCGAAGTGAAGCTTGTTCAAAGGCCGGTATACTGATGTGACTGGAATACCTCGGGATTATACAGCATGGTAATTTATATTACAATTCTACTTAAGTAGTCGCTTCGAGTCGAATAAACATCTCAGAATTTCGGTTAACATTTTATGAGATAAGACGCCTACTGTACCTCAGAAACGTGCGAAAAACTCTAAACTATTTCTCAAACCGCTGTCTTAGTTGGTTTTGAAAAACTGGGTTGCTCAATCTCCCAAAAGTAAATATCAATTTTTTAGCAGTCATATACGAATGAACGGTGCATCCTATTGCTACTTCTTTTTCCTCAGGCGACTTATGAGAGGAACGGGCAAATTTTCAGAAATGGATTTTTAAAAACTGGGGTTTTTCTTGTTCCTATACTTCTAGCGCACCTGTTACACGTTTCTTTTAGCTCAACTGCATTTTAAAAACAGATACAGGAACGGTTTACCAGCAGAACCGGATAAATTCGGATTTGTCAGCAGTTTTTAGATCTAGATATTCTTGCAGCCGAAATGCCGGAGCTTCAGGCGTTATTAAGTGAGAGGACGTTCGCGGACAGATGGCTTTACATAGCTCAGTCGGCTGATGTGTGAAGTTCAGAACTAAGGAAAATGTAATACAAAGTATGCATTGTCCAGTTCAATCTCCGAAGGCTTGGCGAAAAGGCAAGACGTCCCCCTGGTCGCATACGCTCCCTGTTTCATTTAAAAAATACTGCAATCTCTGTAATGTAGCCTATAGCGTATCCTGTCGCTCCTTTTTCTTTTATTTCTAGATAATGACGGGGAATTAAACATAGGCCTAAGTGCTCAGAGAAACGATGAGACATTTTACGACCAGAGTGAGGATAGGAAAGCTGAAAATGTCGTCAATCGACGCTGCGATAGTTCTGAACCACAGAATGCCTGAGCACGAAATGAAAGTTGCCTATCAGTCGTCCTCTTATAGTGCGCATTCTGTGCCGGCATGGGCTCTAGGCTTACAAATTACTTTCTGCCTCATAGCATGTAACTGTATGCTTTAGTACTTTCACTTTCAACTGCTGTCCAAATTTGTCTATTTGGTCATCATAACTAAACCTGATATTTTCAGTCTTTTATTGTGGTTAGTTAGTTATTATGTCAACTACCCGATCTTTTGGGATTTCCATTGTGTTAACGTTGAAAATGTTGTTTCAACTGAGAAATCATAGGCACTTCCAATGCTATTTTTTTCCAGACTTTAGTATTAACTAGAGCAAGTAGTTAAACACATCGGTTTTCTGGCGCAGTCATCCCTGACTTCATAGTTTACGATAAGCGAAAGAAAAGTGCTTTTATATTTAGATAATGTGAAATTTCTACTGAGAATGCAAATGCATAGTAACTTTACAGTTGCTATAAACAAAATGAAACTAGATACCATAAAAGTGAATTGGCTACTGCTCTTAGTAAGTAAATACAGCATCAACCCCGAGTCTGAAATCTACCCTTGTTTATTTTAATAAAATTCGGCACTTTTGTATCGAAAGAACTTCCAACAACAATTTTTTGACTGGGACTTCCCTGAAGACATTTCTATCACCAAATTCTATGCAGAGTTCTAGACAGAAGACATCAGGCGACACAAAAGAAATGTGGCCTGGGCAGGGAGTCAAAGGGTGTAGTATTGCCGAGGACCTATTTGCGTTTCCATTCGAGAAGGCCACCAATCGTTCGGGAATTTCTCACTAATTTGCATACACTAGAAATTCGCTTCACACCTGTTTTTGTCGAAAAAGGCTTTAGCACAATTGTTTGACCATACCGAGGATACTTTAACTCATCTTCAATTTGCCCATCTTTTTGAAGATGAATAGAACACAGTCAGTCCCCAAATCTTATGGTTTGGGAACGTCAATCACTTAAAATGTCCCTAGAAGACGAGGTCCCAAAAAAATAAAGTTTATGCGACTATCCTACAGATGGTCCTTAGCAAAAGGAGCCGGGTTCGGTGACTCCGTGTGCTGGATAGATCTGTCGGTACATACAGGGGGAGGCAGTTCTCTACATTCTTTCACATTTCCCACCCCATCCTAGCGGTCAGCCAGCATCTAAAAAACAGAGACTATAACCACTTGAACATCGTGCACCAGTGAAGAGACGCGTCGATTTACTGTCCACCCAACGGATGGTGTTTAGGGGCCTGTATATGCATGGTATCTTCTGCAAACTTTCGTGTTTATGCGAAGTCGCGTCCCAAATCCGATTATAGAGTGATGAAGAACGACGATCCCTGCAGTCCTGGGAGTAAACAATTACTCCACTCCGCCTTCCCACCCCCTCTCTGTCTTTATTCGTTCGCTTCTTTTTTACCTCGAGATGCACCATCGTTCGATGTTCGCGCATATTTCGACAGACCTTGAGGAATTTAAATGTTGGGTCACGTGATTTATCGACCTGTCCAAAAGAGGGTTTCCTTGGCATCGACTAGGAGGCTGCTGGCGAAATATCGCGCTATACGCCTTGTAAAAAATACCTGGAACGAAAAACCGTCATTTATATAGTCCTAATTCCAAAAAAATCCAACTTGGAAAATCAAACAAAACCTAGTGAACTTCTAAATATATAGCGCTTATTTGTTTAGAAAGAGGATAGACATTCTTGTTCCAGTGATGTAGGCGAAATGAAGATACACACAAAGCCTCTGTTAAATAATTTTCTGGAAGGCTTACTCGGGGACTTTCTCGAGAAAAAAAAACATTCCATAGAACCTATGAAACCTTAGATAAGTTGTGGTAATCATTAGATGTTTGGCATAAGAGCATATGACTTCCTGTCTTTTAAAATCCAAAAGTCATGATGAAAATCCGACTGCTGAAATGGATATTTTTTCCCCGCATCGGATGCTGTATAGATTTTTCTAAAATGTTCGTAAACCCGTGGAGCTCGACCTTTCGTTGACACACTTCAAGGAGTTTGTAAATAAGGGTTTGGAGACCTCAAATTAATTGTAAACAAAACCATTGTGGTTTAGTTGTGCAGCCGTTTGCTACTGGCAGGCAATTCGATTCTTTTCCAATGTTCTTGCTGCTTTTGTCAAATAAAGTTACGAATTGTCAATTCCCCCTCTCAAAAAGTTTCATGGCTTTTCAATAATTCCAACGATCTGAAGAAACACGGCAATTTATCAAGAAGCGATGGGTAATAACGGCCAGCATCATAATATGACGTATTTAAGGTGTCTCTTGAAACAAAAGAAGATATTCTGAAATGGGATTTTGCTTAGAAAGAATTACTTAGGTTGGGTTGTAATATTGATTATCGTGCACTATAATTCAAGGTTATTTCAATCACACCAGGATGCCAAATTTTGAAAAGATGTTGTTGCAGATACCTGATAAAGCCACACTAGGCGCAAATGGCTACTGATAATAGGTGTGCTACTTCATGGAATGTTGACCGAAATTCAGAAATCTGCCTCCGATTACTAAACATTACTTAGGTATGGCTATGATTCTAATTATCTTGCAGCATAACCCCAAGATATTTCAATCAATTCAGCATGCCGGCTTTTTAACGCAACTCTTTCTGGCCGCCTGAAAGAACTATATTTAGTTATAAAAGAATTACATAAGTAGCCTAAACTTTCCCAACTGACTTCGAAGCCCTTTTAAAGTCGAATATATTTTCTTGAAAACCTGTATAAAAATATACTTACTCGCTTTCATTTGGTGTTAAAGTACGTCGTCTTCATATTTTTTTTATTCAAAAAGGTCATCTGTTGGTCTTAAAAACTTTAGATTTCCAAACAACTTTAAACCTGACCTGCCGTAACACCTGCCCTCAGGGCTTCCAAAGTACAAGATGCTTTGCTTATAAATGTACATTTCACATTCTCGAAAATTCTATAACTAGGAACGTTTCAGAATCTCTGGACGCCTTTCTTAAAGTTCGGAGGAGACTTATAGGTCGTGGTTGATCTTATGAAATGTTGGCAGAAATTCTGAAATGCGTCTTTGCTTATGAAGGATTACTTAGGTGGACTTCTTATAATGATTATCATGTGGCATAGTTCTATAGTGTTTCGGACTAGCCAGAATGTCGGCTTTTGAATGTACTTCTTCTCTATCTCCTGTACAAACAACACTCGGCAAAAAACGACTACCTACTGAGCATGCATTTTCCATATTGATTTTCGATTGTCTTATAAATTTACATATATTGTGCAGAAAACACAAACATAAATGTGCTTTTTTACTCATTTGGTAGAAAATCATATCATATTTGCATATTATACTTGAAGAACGGGTATAAGTGGGTTTTAAAAAGTTTCCAATTATGAGATTTTTAGGACAAGGCGACGTCCATACATGCAGCATTGCACATGTCCGTTTACTAATGCTCCTCAAGAAATTTACGATGTATTTTTCATCCGGTGCAAAATTTTGTAAACTCTACATGGCGTCTTCTTAAAAACATAGAACACAAAGGTTAAAGAAAAATCAAATGGAAAAATGGGTGTAAAGAAGAATATTTTAGTGTCAATATTTGGATTTATGAGAATGTCACAAATCTGTGGGACAAATTCCCATTACATAAGAAGTTATTTTTACAAAAACTTTGCAGGCAACCGGAGAGCGCTCATGCAAAAGCAGGCATTCTGACTTGGCTGAAAAAGCTCTGGCTTATGCAACACAATAATGAATATTATAATCCTTCATAAGTAATCTTCTTTAACCGAAATGATATTTCAGAATTTCCGCTAATGGTTTACTATAAACGTCAACATGCAGGAATTCTACATGTGATACCGAATTAGTTTGAGGCTGGATTACCTCCATATTTACAACCCGTATATTTAGAACCATTTGCGGGCACAGAAAGCTCGCAGCTGAATTAGTGTGCCAGTGGATTTTATTGCCTCGAAATCTAACTGCAGCAAATTAGGAATACTAAGGATTCAACTAAACATGATCAAATAACCAAGCTCATCTATGAATTAGGGTGCTTAAACCATAAGTGTGCCTGCAAGGGAGGGGTCTGTCGCAGCCTAAGAGCACGCGCCGACGGCCAAACACATCTGTCTCGAAAAAGGCCATAAACCGAAAAGAGGCTAAACTTACTACATCATTAATAACAATTGCAGACGGTTGGAAAATGCTGCTTAAAGCATTCTCCCAATATTCGAAACATATTTCACAATGATTAGGCCGTTAGCATGACCGCTCAGTTACCACAGGGCTGTGCATCGTGGAACAGAAGAGCTGCTACCCTATCCAAAAGGCCGTCTTATACCGACAGCAGACAGTTACCGCTGTTTATGTTACTTAAGTTTATTTATATTCTTTTATCCATAGCCTGTTTGGTTTCCTTCGATTTTTCAAGTGCACATACACGTTCAGCGTCAATGGAAAGGCAACCACCGATTTTATCTTTAAACGCTCTTTGTCTCACGTAGGCTAGTTTGTACTGACCATATGACGAGGCCACAGTCAAAGTGCATTAGTTCATTATTTTGTTGTCTTATGTCAGCCTGCGATAAATTACACCCAATTACTAGTCTTAACATCACAGTTCACCAGGATTTTCACATTTCTTCATAATTTTGGGCGTAAAGCCTCGTCCTACATCTCTCTGGTTTTCAGAGAATGTTTTTTAACACGCTCATATCTGTAGAACATTGTTTGTTCTTCGCCAGAGTTGGCATGCGCCATCAAAATAACTGTCAAGTCACAGTTAAGTGCGTCGCCACCGGAGATGCGCAAGTTTGCGCTCTTTAAACTTGCGCATGCATTTACTGGCATTCCACCAAAGTTATCTAATGTTCGTATCCTTTTTTCAATCGTTTCATTAAATAGCAATGAGTACAGACCAGCACTTGTCGTTGTGCCTGAATAAGTTTATAGGACTAATTAAGGTATATTGAATGCACATGTGCAGTACGGGTACAACGCTGTCAAACGGTTTAGAGATCCCAGAAACTTCTAAGACCGGTTGATGTAGATAAATTGAGACGTTAGCTGCATAAAGGTAAGTCATTAAGCCGAGGGTGAAGGCAGACTGTGGTCTAACCGTTGCCAAAGCAAATAGAAATAGGAGAACGACGAAGGGAACAACTGTCCTGCCTGGATTTTGTTCGTCGTCACAATCATCCAGGCCATCCGTTTCTAGACTTGCCTAGATGAAATATTACTCGACTGGTTTGGGATTTAATGCGTCCTACCTTAAGTACTCGTACACTAAAGCAAGGAGAACAAAAGAAGCCGATGAGTTTAAGTTAATATGGCAACGATTATATTACTGAAACTCATGAGTATCCCGCTCACCTATCACAAAATTAACTTTAGGGCTGTACCTATTAGTTAACTTAGTGTAACTGTTTCCAACTGTAAGGGTTAACAACGACCACGTCCACTTCTAAATTTGTAGTCCTGTAACAATTTTTCGCCTAAGCGCAATGAAAACCACTGAGTGTTCGATCCTACTGACGCTGCGGCCAGCAGCTTCTAAAAATTGATAAGACGAGCATATTTTAGGTTGGTTTCTTGACAAAATTAAGGTGCACATGAAAGCATCACATTCTCAAACCCCTATCAGCCGATTGGTTTAGCATGCAATTTCGAAAAAGCGCACTATGTAGATAAGCTGGTTTTATCGCACAATAACACAATGCTCATTTTACTAACTATTAACGCCTCTGCTTGTTCCAATCCAATGTGTTTGGCATTAAAAACCCAAAAACATTTACCAATGGCAGATCTCATGGGATTTCATGGGCTTTTATCAAGGCCTCATTAATGGCATGTGCTTAACTTATCCGAAATAAGCGGGAAACTCCTACTTCGAGGTTTATTAAATCCATTCTCCGTCTCCCAGCCAGAGTATTACGACAGCTTGGTCTGCCTACATAAGTGGTCCTTCTTTCGGCCCAGCACGTTTTGATTCAAAATGTGCTTGGCTGTAACCCCATCAGCGGTGCCAGGTAGACCTGTTTTATGACAGGCCAACAAATCACGTGGGCACAGTGGTTCATTCACTCACGGCGTATGTCAGTAAACAGGTAAATCAAAGGGCCAACTGTTTGGGTTAAGGAGCAAGCTAACTAATGGGGTACGAGGATGGAGGCCAGCGCGGGAAGAACAAGGTTGTTTACTCCTGCGACTATGCAAGCGCTCATTTTTATGACCCTACAACACGTACAGAGGTGGTCGGACTTGCTGTGAACATAAAAGTAGAAAGAATTCACGGACTCCAAGTACCTACGCATCAGTAAATTCATTTTTTAAGTCGAAATCTATTCAGTCTACCCCCACATTAGGAGCCACTGTTCATGTGGCCGCGATGTCATTTTTGTCGCAAATCCCTAACTATCTGGTTAATTTCAAATATCGAAGACGATTGAAAAATGACCGGTGTGATTTTGCCGATAGAACTCCTCAGGAGACTCTCCTAATGCAGATGCAGCGCAAACAAATGTTAAATTTTGCTCTATTTTCCCTTAGCATGCCTTGGATCAAGTTGTGCTTGATTATACCCGCCTCCTAGAAATATAAAGTAAGTCGTACTACTTGAAATTTCGAAGTTGGTGACCTTCCGTGTTCTCATTGTCTTCTGTCCGAACCCATATTTTGACCGGAAATAAAAGTCTTTCGTGGACAGTCTCAAGATCGGTGTGGAGTATTTTGGTTATCGACAAGTTAAGCACACTATCGGTTCGAGTAAGGACTAATAAGAGAATCAAAGAGTGCAGTAAAACATATTAGAACTAGGTATGGAAATAGGAAGTGTGGAATGCATACGGAGGTGTTTGAAGTGGTCGTGAATGTTGCTGGGTCAAGAACTGTTTAAGAGTTGAGCTTGCATCGACTTGCTGAAGGCTTTTTCGAACAAAATAATGTTTTTTGATAAAGAATAAGTTAGCCTTCTCGTACACATTCTTATACTAAGTGGAAAACATTCTGGCTGAACGACTGCGCACTTATAAGCAGGTCAGTTTGAGAGTTGAGAGATTGTCCATAAAAATGAATCTGCATAAGCACCGCGGCGTTCGTACTAAAAAGTCCCGATAACTCATCCATTCTAGAAAACTGAGCATGAATATTTAATCTGATTTCTACAAAAACTATTGTGAATTTTGGCATTAGTGAACTTAGAGGGCAATAGTAGATGAAAGACCCCATTTAACCGTCGGTGGAGTGTGGATTGCGTCATAAAGGGTTGGTGGTAATTGGGGTCTTACGGGTGGGGCAGCGGGCCAAACAGTAGGCTGAAATAATTAAGAAAACACAGAAACTGTTTGGCTTTCTGCCGATAGTCTTGTCTTACGTTTTTGTATGGCAACGGAAATGAGCGCGTCAATTAGAAATAAGCAAAATGCAATCTTCAAAAATTAGCGCAGTCTAAGTTTTAATTCCTTCCCCCCACCGTTGCCCTCTTTTGAACTTTTTGGACCCTGCCGACCAGATGCTTTTCCGTTAACTCTCCTGTCGAACAAAAGGTTCATAAGAGAACATACTTCACCTCTTCTCCGTTCAGAACGAACCTGACTAACGAGCAAGCCTGACTTAGCAACTAAAGCATTTACGTAGAGTCGGTTTGATCACTCGCAGTCCCAACTATGTCGTCCAAATAACAGTCCTAGAGTTCCCGCCAAATAATGCGTTCATCGCCCTGTATTTCCTCCAGTTCGCTCAAAAAGGCTTCGGTTGGGAGCGGACCTAGATGTGGACCCATTGTCCTTCCATCTACTTGTCTATATGGTTTGCCGCCAAACACGCACTGGGCATTCATAGTGGATTTCAGTGGTGGCGCCTCCCTTTCGTATTATGAGCCCTTCACGTATTCTCAATGGTGGTGGCAGCTTTAGTCAAGGCCACCTTTGCGTACCTTAGCGGAGAGAAGGTTCGTTAACCCACTCTTAAGACCTTTATAAAATCAGCTGATTATAAGCCGCGCAACTTAGCATAATTTATTCAGAAATTGTACCCAGCTTGTGGCATTCCCTGTGCCCAGGTTGCATGCTTTTCAAAGGTCGCTAGGTCAACTTCCCTCCCCTCACGTTATGCCTTCTCGCATTTCAGATCAACAGTCCTTGTTTTCATTTAACTATCACGTTTGATCCCCTGGGTCGATTTCTATTGGACTGGTGGGCCGAGAGCCAGGCTGCCACGGATCCTTCTTAACGTGACCTCTGGCACTGGGGTGTGTGTGTATGTGTGTGTGCATACGGGTAGTGCCTCTTAGTCGACGACTGACTGGTCACCCTACCTTTAAGGGGTACTGGCCCAGGCTCCGTGCAGGGCTGTGTGTCGTCCTTCTAGGCCTTAAGGTTTGTGAGCGTCTACTATATACCATGATTCAGTAAACCGTGGTTCTCGCAGCCTGGTAGGCGCTGGCAGTCCCCTGAAATCTGGTTCCTTGCCGGTAGATGCGCTTACGCTCCCGCTGGGTACACAGATGGTGGGCATAGCTGCCCAGTTATCCTCCTCCTGCTGCTGACCCGTAGGGGTGTTATTGTTAGTTGAAATTCTGGTCGAGTGTTTGTTGTGGGCCAGGGAGTGTGGTAGTACGCCTAGGTGAGGGTCCGGCCGTGCCAGCCACCTGCACTCTCTCCGGCCTTCAGTCTTCTCTACTCTGTCTTGGCATCGGGTCCAGGCTGGGAGGAGGAGGGGAAAGTACAGTAGGTGCTAAGCAAGTCCACTCTCACCATAAAAGAAATCAGGCGCAAGTCACCGTGCCTGCTCTTCCTTGTTGTGTAACACACGGTGGACATCGTTGGTTGAGACGGTCAGACTGTCAGGCGGAGAGCGCACAGGTGAACATTGTTCCCAACGCCAGGGTCGGTGGGTCTGATGGTCGAGCAATCATCACAACAACATCCAACGCACGTGGTGAAATTGCACCAATTAACGGCGCGAATATCGGCCATCAAACAGTCATCACACCAAGTGTAACGATCCCTCGTGAAGGGGGGAGCCGCGGTAGCATGGCGACTGCATCCAATAAATACTGCAGCACCTTATGCATTAACAACCCGTATCTGCTTTTGTCTCTGATGATGGGTTCGAGCGGGAATCCGAGACGTCAGGCGAATAAAGCTCTTGTCCCAGCGATCTTGTCTACCTCTTCACGCCTGCTTCCTGGGACTCGTCTCTTCGCTTCTATTGGACTCGTTTATATTCCTTGTACACAGCAAAGGATCCGAGATCTATCCTACAGCCAAGTGAAGGCGATGTAGCCCACCAGGATGCAATATGAAGCGTGCTTCAACTGCACGATCTTTCTCCTGGTCTAACTTGTGGTCACCATCGATTCTTAGATTGACTGAGGAAACATTGCCTCATCCGGCAGCAAGTTCCTTCTAGCGGTTTTGCGAAAGCTGCTTATTGTCATTTCCAGAGCTGAGTAAAGTGATCTCTACAGTTTAATCGTCGGTTTCGACGACGTCCGCCGTGCGCTCCAAAGCCTGGTAGGAACAGGGACGGTGACCTGCGTGTTAATTAATTTAAAGTGATTGTAAACTTGCGCAACACCTGCTGAATTCTCTCCCCCACTCCCATCTGCGCCCGGTGCCATGACCATGTCAAAAAGACCGGAGGCGGGAAAGGGCGCAGGTGGCTGGCACGGTGTAAGCCCGCACCCAGTCGTACCACCACACTCCTTGACCCACAACAAGCACGTGAATAGGATTTTAACCAACAGCAGTTAGGGGGCGGCAAGAATCCCGATGGGCGCAATGTCAACCGACAACTGCGTCTGCCACCTCACCCCGAAGGTTGCCATTCGGTACGGGTGTGCATTCCCGATAAGGCCTGCCGATTCCGATCTGGCCCTTGTGTCAGTCCCGCCCATCTACCGCTTGGCCGTCTTAGGGGGCAAAAGAGGGATCTAAAAGCACTGAAGGCTGAGAGGATCTTTATAGAACTTCCAGCAGATAAAGAGCGCTCTTCATTTACGCACCGTGTCAACGGCGGAACACCTGATCAGAAGGCCAGATAGATTCGGGGTTACCCAAAGCGCACAAAGCCGATGCGTGCATTGACCAGCTGTGCCCTGTGCAGCACGTTTACTTTCAATGAGATAAAATATTTGTTCAGCCGCCTACAAATTATCCCTCAGATCGAGCAGTATTGTCTCAAAAAGGTCACAGAGTATGAAAGCCGACGCAGACGTGATAATGTGTCACTTGATGTTACCTGTCTCATGAATTCATTTCTGCAGAACCTGGCAGTCGAGAATGATCGTCAATAACTCGAGAGTCAAAAAGATGAGCCGGTCAAGCCCGTAAAAAATAAGCATTCCAGCCATCTGTTAAAATTTTGCCTTAGGAGATCTTAGCAACCGAGAGTCCTGTCCTTTCCCCACTGTAAGGATTTCTTACAGGCCACGAGGTTAACACGGTGAACGCACACCCACCGGACGCCGGCATGATTTCTCGGTCGTGACGCCCCCTCTTAACTCCCCGCTGACCCTGTTCGGCTTACTAACCTAACCGCCTCCCACGCCCCATGAATCCTAAGCCTCTCCCCTACGAAAAAATGTCCTGCGCACAAAGCAGGCTGATATCATTCCCATGTTGCTTGATTCACCAGACTGCTAGCTGAAGTACTAGCGAAAAGCCGATATTTTGCCGCTGCATGACGCCACTGTGAGGGGTTCGGCTTATCAGTGGGTCTTTCAGAGTTCCCCGTGTGATTTTCTGGTAGATACACTAGTTTTAAAATTGCAGTTCTTTAATTTTCTCAGAAATTAGTCGTTAACTTGAAGTAACATCTTCGTGACAAGCCCACTCATCCCCCTCCCCCGATTTTCATCATGCAACGGCGCAAAGTCGGAGAAAGCACTTGTCTGGGCTTTCAGTTAATACCCGCGTTGGAAACATAGCAGGTCAATCGGGCTAAACGGTGTGTATGCCTGTGACTGGGCGACAGGAGGCCGTGGCGTGAATAAGGAAAGAGGTAGGAATGCAAACAAAGATAACGCCGGGTGTCTAAGGGAGGAGACGTGGGAAAGGAAGCAGCACGGTCCGTCACTAGTAGTGACATGCTGTTCGGCATATGATGCCTCATCCAAGGCGGAAGTCCGTGCTATCCGTAGCACACATCCGAAGGTCCCATAAGCAAATAACGGGGTATTTCAAACGCACTGCGACCGCTTATAATGCATTGAGCAGGCAGGGACGTAACAGTTTCGCCTACCATGTAGGCCGGATGACCATTAGCTGAAAATAGCGAGCTTATCTAGAGAGACTTATTTGAATTTGAATGGCAATTTGGTAGGCTTGAAACAGTGTTTTTTGCAAAAGCTGCAATTGTTTTGACACCTATTTTCTGATTCCGGAATTTAGACGCAACACAGAAAAAACAGCTTCAAGTAAAAGTGACAGCGAAATCAGTGCGAACGTTGAACAACACCAACGGAATTCCCTCGACATGCCCATTTATCAAACGTGCCCAGCATACTGCTGCCTTTAATTTGTCAAATTATAACGTTAAGTTGACAGAAGAATTAGAACCGGCAATTCCTGTCCGCAATGCCCCGCGGGTTTGGGGGCTGTGGTTAATTTCGATTTATGGACAGAACGGATACAAAAGCGCTTTCATTTAATGCATTTTCGCTGTTGGTACATGCCAGTCGATTACTGCTAAGTGATCTAGCTCAACATACCCTTAGCCGTGATTCATTGAGCTGTTAAATTCCTGTGAGCGAATCGTAAAACGTCCGCTGTCATTTATAAAAAAACTTACTTTTTCAAAATCGCAGAAAAGTGTTTTTATTGCATTTTCATCTAGGTGCACAATAAGTGTTCCTTATAGTATACCTTGTTCCCTCAGGAAATTATTTAAAAGTGCAGCTTTATTATAGTTCTGCAGCGAGATCTTTCTATCCAAATGCGTTCACATGAAAGCATTTTTTATCCCTCGTTTGCCATTTGCGTCAAACCCTCAGTTAAAACCAGTCTACACGCAGTACAGTCCCACCCTCTTGGAAATTAAATATATTGATTGGCCATTTAATGCAGAGTGGCTTTTTCGCAAACGCTTCTTTTTAGGGAGCCGTGATGACTGCTGCATTCCAACAGTGACACAGTTAACTTGGGTAAATTCCAAAGTTAACATAACAAACACTGGAAGGCATTTTAATGAGTTAAGTCTTGGGCTCGCCAAATTTGGCGGATAAAAATCATCGTGACACCAGGCGTCTGTATCGGATAATACCTGTTCTGGGATTAAGGTAACCCCGAAGAACCCATTCCACGTGTTATACCTTAGAAATTCTCTCAAGTCCGAAGATATTATCAATTTTCACGGTAAATGTATTGTATTGTATTTTAGGGTAATAGGCAATGCCCTTGACGACCCTATTGAAAACGGTACACAAAATATAAATGTTAAATGTACATCTTACTAAAATGTTGTCAGTAACATATTTGTTCACTGAAAACTTTCACAATGCGGGACTGCAAAGGGTGCGGCAGGCGGTCTTCTCAGTGTACACATGAAATTTTAAGTGCAGTTATATACAATCAGCATAAAATGCAGTCATTTGCATAGTTTGAGAGGGGGCATCTCATTAAGAGTCAGGGATGTGTTAAGTGGGGATGAAATCAAGAAATGAAATTTATGGCTGGCCGCAGATAGTCCTGTTATGAAAGTCGTCGTTTATCAAATATCAAACGATCCAGCTGCCTTTTGAATACTGCGATTGTATCAGATGTCACTATTTCACTTGGGAGTGAGTTCCATGGTCGAACAACACGCTGGCTGAAGGAAAACTTTCGATTGTCTAGGCGTGTACGCTCCCGCTTGACTTTGTACGGGTGACCGCGCAGGTGACTCGTGGACGTGAATGCAAAGAAGTCGTCAGTTTTGAGCGAACATTCATGCCCGTGGATAATGCGGAATGTCCATAACAGGTCACACCTCATTCTTCTATAGGATAGGGGGAACAAATTTAACTGGATCAGTCTTTCTGGGTATGACAGAGTCCTGAGACCGTCCACCAGTTTTGTGGCCCGTCGTTGCACCTTAATGTGGCGGATATAAATCGCGGATGTTCTGGATTCGTCACCTTCACTTAATTCTCCCACAGAATCGTACCTATCAGAACTAGTTAAGAACAAGAAAGCAAACTGTCAACAGTGATTCCTCACTGCTTTAATTCCTTTGCCTGACACAGTTAAATAAAAGCATATTAACGGGAAAATCCTAAAAATACGCGTCTCGGGTTGGGAAAAACTGACGATCACGGTCTTACTCAGTTTACCTGCTTTCAATAGTTGCTACTGTAAGAAAGGTACTCAACTGGTTGTTTGGGGTCACCGTCGTAAAATATAGGTCGTGGAATTTAGCAACCATTCTAATCTTTACATACTTTGCTGTTACTTCTTCCTGTCGGCTGCACAGCGCTAGCAGAGTTCGCGGCACGACTGAACGGAACAAACAAAAAAGAGTAGGCCAGGTCTTCTGGCCTGATCACGATGGTACGCAATATAACTGACTAGGGTATTCCCACCCACTGTTGGTGGACTGTGGTCATACATCCCGGCTTGCGCAGATTTCTACTATGACTCTCCGGATCTGTTGAACCCAGACTTACACTGTAACGTTAGCTTGTCGTCGTGCCCATTTTATCCCATCCAGTGGACTTTCTACTGCAAAATGTTTCTTCCTATCCAAAAATCTCAGTATGTGTCTGAAGATACTCCACTTCAGATAGAGGCTGAAATTGTGAGCGTTGAGAGCATGGATCAAACGTTCGACTTCTTACTGGCAAAAATCTGAGAAGTGCATAGCATTATCTTTGCATCTCACTTCATATATGTCCTTCGAGTAGTTTTCCGTATTAATCAGGCAGTACGTGGCCACGAATAGTTATTGTTCAAACTCTGGGCTATCGTAGTCCCGCCTGTTGACTCCGCTAGCCACTGTGCGGCCACCTACGAGTGCGCCAATCACGGAGTTCTGGGGCAGAGCAGAATTGCCTGTATTCCATCCAAAGTTACTCTCAAGTGAAAATGACATTTCCTTCTCCTGAACTTGAAAGACGAGTACACCTTGCACTGTCCGACTAGGATGACTAAAAGACGCAGGTGAGGTTGTTATAGAGTAGGACACTTGATGTCGGGGACTGGAAGGCGGACTTCATCTAATAGCACACATTAGAAGATTGTGTGAGCTTCCTATTTCTTACAGTTTGCCTAGGGAATGTTTTACTTTCCATGGGTATGTGTGAATGAATAATGATTTCATTTAGTGATCACTTCCACTCTTTCCTGAAGTGTACATATACGTGAAGTGAACCATAACCTTAATTTGAAATCAACAATTTTGCAGAGTGCATAAAGCTCGAAAGGGGCTTCGACTGTTGGACGATTAGCGTGGGTTTTCTTATCCCACTTTCCCATAAGGCGAATTCACTGAAAGATAATTTATTTTATCAAAGTATGAAAATACACTATGGCAAAGTCGTAACAACTGTGCATTTGTGCCTCAGATCTCGGGTAAAGCAAAACAATCAATAAAGGTTGCTTTTTATTTCCTCAGAAATTAACTACGAACTTGGAGTAGATCAGTATATACTAAGGTTTATAGCCACAGCGGGATAACCGCGTAATGTTCGTTAACTGTCGACAGGCGGCCAGTAGTGTTTTAAGGCCACAAGATACCACAGTAACAGCAAGGGTAATCGCTAAAAGCCCAGACACTCCTGTTTCGCCGATAAGCAAACACTTTGTAAACTGGAGTATCTACCAGAAAAGCAGATGGGGAATGCTGGGGAACTCACTGAAGAGCCGGAACCCCTCACAGCTGTACCATGCAGCGGCAGAATATCGGTGAAACACGCGTCCCTGGGATTTTAGCGATTACCTGTGCTGCTAGTAAGGTATCGTGTGTTCCGAAAAAATCAACGAACGCATATTTACCAGAAAGGCAGCAAGGGTGTCAGGCAGTTATGATCCAGGGAACAATCCACGCCCTATAACGATATACGTGTTTATTTTTCCAGTTCATTAAAGCTTTCGCCTAAATAATCAACTTCTGTTTTGCAGCTCTGATATTCCTTGCAATGGCATTGGCCTGCGATAATTCAACGCTTCCAGTCAACGTAAAAATTCAACAAAGGGGACCCGTTCTGAAGATCTCTTGTTCGCCTGGCTTGCGAGCTTTTGAGGCTATTGACAACAGGAGGGTGCAACCCGCCAGAAACCGTTTTGCGCGATATGTCTGCATAAATGGTACCTCATTCCAGCAAATTGGAGCCAACGGCTTCGAAAACACCTCCTTCTTCTGTGCTGGTAACAAATCTTGGCTTTCTTAGTCTTATCGCTACCTATGATGTTGGTTAGCTGGACGCTAATTTGTTAGTTGACTCCATTATTTAGCAAAAATAGAACCAACGTACATCATAGCTCTTTATTATGCACAGAGGGTGCCAGAATCCTGTACGTCATCTTTCCTGGACGTTCTTCCTTAAGCATTGTCCTGCTATAACATATGAAACTGGGTAGAGAAGTAAATGGAATTTTATCCTTTGTTTACTCGTGGCATTTAATGACGCCGGCTATCTGCCACATTCCCACTCGCTTGATGAAAACGAATTTCTCTCACCAACTGCTCATATCAACAACGATTCAGCTGGTATTTTTGGACGGCGTTGGATTACCGGGTTAAGATTTTTCCATCGGCATCTGCTTCTGCACCTCTTTTCCCCTTCCTCTCTCTCTCTATCTCTCTCGCTCATGCTCTCTTAGATAAAGTCCGAATTAAGTCTTCGTAAAACAAAAGCATCTAGCTGTTAGCCGTAACGAGTATATCGGTGTCTCACCGGGAACTCGGTCAAGAACAATTGAGCCAGCAACATTGTATACGTCATCGTATAGCGTTCTTCGTCTCATTGGCAGGACTAGAGGAGCCAGCATCAAAAGGAACTACTTCCCTATTTACCTAAACACACTCAATGTGCTGGTTATTTGGCAGTTTAGTAGTCAGGGTATTGTTTACGGCTGACCAAAAACGCAGAATATTCACGCACGAGGTGACCATTTTCGATAACTCTGCCTAATTCCTCCTGTACGGCCAGGTAAAAGCAAGCGATCTATTTTATTCATAGGTTTTTTATGTTCTTAACGAATGGTGCATTACTAGTTTTGGTCCATGCTGACAACTTTTTAAATACCTCGGAATTAGGATACTGTTTTTTGTATTTTGTAGACAGTCGTGGCAAACACTGCCCACCGCTTCAATTTCATCGATCGTTGGGGCTCCTTAAAATGAACAAATCTGTCGCAGTATGGGGACCAAAAGTGGGCAATTTCAGTATCTTATACTGCACTTTTGGAATTTGGCGACAACTCGGAGACAGCAAGCTGCCTTCAGGTGTGTCCATGTGCCTCCTCCTTAGCACTGACAGTTACCCGGGTTAGGTGCTGGCGACGTATCCGCATCTATTACCCAATAGATTATGTTCGAAGGCCTGGGTGAAGTAATTTCCATCCGGAGCACAACAGTCCTATCTAAGTAATTGACTCGGATCTACTAGATGTGAGCGAGATCAGGAGAGAAGCATGAAACAGTATTTAGTTCTCTGTGCTAGAATGTTCAAATACATGTGTGGGGGTGAAACCCTCAGTGTTTCCATTTCGCCGAATGTAGAACTGGGCTTCGGCTATACGACACCCAAACGGACCTTCAGGTCGTATATTTGTCACAGCTACCTATACCAGTGATGCCTCCGGTCCAGCACTAAGAGTCAGGATTTACCTACTGGGGTTGCTATTGATTCAAAACCTCAAGAAAGCCGTCAAAGAGGGCCGGACTAACAAGATTTTGTCAAATTTTGATTTGCGAACTGAACTGGGGATTCTTCCCACGGGAATTTGTCTCACTGAAAGTCAGTTTTTCTTCCTTCAAAATAAGCATTCTTTCTTGGTACAGCACTCTGAGGCGACTTATCTAGCATACTTCACTATTAGATTTGGCACCACATGTGAGCAGATTGGCGTGAGTCCATGAGACCGATTTCTATGAGCTATCGGGCTCACAGTGCCAGAAGAAGTCAAATTTTGTGTGGAATCAAAAACGCCCCTTAGACAAATGTTCCATCAAATCAAGTAACGGCACATGTTTCGGGTGGTCGGGTAGGAGCGGTCGCCACCAAAGTTGTAAGTTCCGACCACAGCCGACAGTCGCGGGTCCATGACGGGCACTATGGCGCCAAAGTCAACGAGCAACCCAGAATTCCGATTGCAGGTCTTCTGAGACTAGGGCTGAAGTGGATAACTCTCGATTGTCAACCTCTTCCGAGTTCTAGGGGAGGACTCCAAGGCAAGGCAAAGTGGTTCGCATCCCGTCATGCAGTCAAGACGATTCGGCGAGTGGTTCACTTATATACAAGCAAAAATCATAGTAAGTCTAGAAAACTTACCAGGAGCTTACTCGTGAGTCGGAAATCGAGCATCCACTGGCAGTCCATACAAAGCAAATGCTCCATATTACATATTTCGCGTTTACAGTCTCGTCAAGTCCCAACCAACCCGCCAAGGGACTCAAAATCATGTATAAATTTGTTACTTTTAGGTGTCAGAGTTGGAAGGACGGGTTCCTCTGCAACAAGTGCTCCGGACACCAACAAAACACCACACGTCTCGAGAGCAGTTCAAACCAAACATCCCTCGAATCCGGCTATTTCCAAATCTCACCCCGGACTCCATATTTCTTCTACTCTCCCCGCAAATTCTAGGTTAACCACTACCCCTTCAGCTCCTATTCGAACAGAAGCTCGACCAAGTAGGACAGAGTCGGGTTCTACCCGTCCCCCATATTTTCCCGTGGAAGCGGAATACCCCGTTTTTTCACTGCCAGACAACGCGTTTGACGACACCTCTATAGTGACAAGCGACCTTGCTGCCCTAGCCAATGATATCTCATCCGCCCTCCATCAGCGTCTCCTGCAGTCAATACTGACAGCTTCAGTTACTCTGGTCGCGGTTACTTGTGGAGGCCTCTTGTGTGCATTTGGATTCTACTATTTATTGAAGAGAAGGAAAGCGGCAATAAAACATAGGGTAGAGAAGGCCAAGGAGCGACTGGATCGAATAATTGCCGTCCCCTGATATCCACTTCCCGAAGTCTCATCAAAGTCACGGCCTGTACAGTTGTAAAATTTTAAAATGCGCATTTTTACATGTGTATCTTGTAAATAATGTATTGTGCGAGAGCTCTTCACTTCTTTGGCTTGAGGCTGATAAATGGCTCTACGAGGGGTAAATTCAATCTGACGCTCTAAAAAGAAACTACGTACGTCAGAAACCGAAACTGTCGAGGCCGAAACAGTATCGGGAGCTCTGCCGTTATCCCGAAGTGCATTCCATTGCTTGATGCGCTGCTCCGTATAGAACACCCATGCGAATAAGGATCGTAAAACACGACAGGATGTACTCAGTCCCAGCCAACCGTCGCCTAGCGTGTACAACTTGTACGTATGCCTGGAGGGAGTAGATCGGGCCGAAGGAGGGTCAGTATATTGTCCACGGCATTAAAGTTGGTGTAGCGTCCCCTAGGTATGCAAACGTCCTTCGCAGTGGGCGGCGTCCAGGTAGTGGTTTCACCTAGAAATACGCTGCACTTGCTGACTACTTACTATCGGCAGTAGGCAACATTAATTTTTTTAATAGCCGCCAAGGAAATACACACCTTTCAAAGGTTTTTTCGCATCCAAGAATGGATTCCTAGCACACTCGCGTCCGCTTATCTTCGACCTACGAGAGCGCTCCTGACATAAAAAATCCAACGAAGGGACACAAGCCCCACGCCAAGAACTTCATTTTTAAATATCAAGTGTTTTTCATCAAGAAAGGAACCACGCAAAACCAGTTCAACCTACGCGGTACGTCTAAACCACGTCGAGGAAGTAAGGTGGCATTAGTTAACAGTGAACGATTTTAAGAGTCCAATTATAAAAATACTTGCCCTCGCGCGACAGAACGTCATTATGACGTCCATTTTCACGGCACTGACGTCTTGGCTACCTCGGTCACATTGGAAAAAAATATATATATATACATCTATGCACGAGCGGACCAAAGTCTCCTCGTTTTCAGATGCTTAGGACAAGACTCTCCGGGAAACAGATTCATTACCTAAGTCCTGCGCGAACCCGTGCAATCCTTGAATGCGGCAGTCCATAAATATTGGCCGAAATGGCGAACTCTCAGTTGAGCAGCGACCCGTAAGCTTCAGTGTGCTTACAAGCTCCCGAGTTAATACACATAATACAGAATGGTTGGGAGGGGGGGGCTTGTAGCCTTTTGGTAAAGAACTTGAGTTCCGCAGATGAGCGCCAACTACGCTGGCATACAGCACAGGCACGTCCGAAAAAGCCATCCTCTATCGAGATTAGAGACAACTATGAGAGGCGGGAATGCCACAAAACCGTTAGAACTCTGGCCAAAAACAATAATTGATCTTCAGCTGGTGCATCAAATAAGGTCAGAGAATGCGCCCCATTTATTTGAGGAAGGAAAATTATGCGAGGTAAACCAAAGTAAAAACCGAATAACCAAAAATAGAGCAAGTATGATCAGCTGTACAATGTCAAACCAGTACTACGACT